AATTTAATAAATAAATAAAGAAAGTAAAAACAAACTGTTATTGTAAAATCGAATTTTCAAATTAGGAATCTTATAATAGTATCCCCCCAAAAAAAAATAAATAAAAGGAATTCGCCGCTTTGAATAAATCGCTTAGCTTGCAGATGGAAAGACTCGAAAATTAGACAAAAAACAGACTGAAAAAATAAAGATAGAAAGAAATCAGGGCAACGCAACAGACAGATTTTGAGAAACTTGTAAGAAAATGTGATCCGGTAAAAGTGAATGGACTATAAAATAATTAATTATAAATGTAGTTGTTGTGGGCAGGGGAATGTTAAAGGAATAATATAGAACAGCCTGTTCCACGCAAAGCGGTGTGAAAGGACCGGAACTATTATGTTCAAAACATGAAACGCATATTATTTTCACATTCTGCCGTTCCTATTCTGCTAAAGTGCAACATTTATTATTTTTAAAAATAATAAAATTAAGGTGTAACCGGAATGGTAGCAGTGAGAGAGAAGTATAGGATCAACTCTGTCGGCGCGGGCTCATCTATCGATCGATGCACTCTTTGCGTCTGTGTGTGGAGTACTGTGGAGACTGGGGGGAGAGGAAACTGTTCGCCGGCTCGCAACTCGGGTGGTGGTACGTGAACGAGGCTAGGCTTGTTGAGAGAACCGTAGATGATTCTTTAGTGAAGGTAACCCAGAGACCAGGATTTGGTCTGGAATGTCAATGACGAAATTATCTCATTGTGAAAAAGCTAAACATACATAAACATCTACAAAGGAGTAACTGTCAGGCTTCAAACTGCTATACGTGGGAAAAAGAATTCACAAGGGATAAAAGTAACACTAAAAATTTCTAACTTCTAGAAGGCCGACATTCCGCGTGACAAGAATTATTAAGTTAATTAACACTAGCGACTTTAAGTACAAGTATACTAGTGACATAGCAATAATATACGTACATTTCCAGAATCTAGACAGTTGGAATTCCGTGTGTCGAGAATTTTTTACTTCACTGACACTAGTAGCACTAAGTATACTTGCGTCATAAAACAAATGTAGAAGTTAAATTTATCTGTGCATTTAAAGATAAACTTTTTGTTGGTTTATCTGAATTCATAAAAGTAAGTATAAGATTATTTTCTGTTATTAAAAAGAAAAGAAAATAATTTACTTTTCTTAAAATTATTTACAAAATATAACCTTACAGCTCACCAGATAAACTGCTGTCTAGTTTTGGAATAACAGGCTCAGATTTTTTTAAATTTTAAAATAATATCAGTTACCTAAAATATCAATACCAAAGTTACGAAAACTCCTCCAGAATGAAACCATTTCCTTAATTTATCATTGACAACTTTCCCACTGACCTGTTCGAAACGGATATCCCAATCGTAACATAGCGGCATTGGGATCCCCTTATCTTTATCTTCATAAAAAAAACAAATGTGACTACTAGATCTTTTACACCATTTAAAGGTTATCGTTCGTTCTATTTGTTTATAAAGTTTTTTTCTCCATATCTGCCGGTAAAACATGTGAAACAAACCAAGACACTGTATAAAGAGGAATGTTTCCGTTGTCCACAGTATTGTCTTTATAGATTACATTTTTGTAGCCTGTCTGGGGTGATTCTCCTATTGGTCTCTCGTCCTGATAAATCAAATTTTTATAAATGTGAACATATATGCATCAGTCCATTATTGTTACAGTAATTTTATCGGCATTGGCAAAGGGGTCTCCATCTTGTTTTGTTAATGCATTTCCCATTAGTAGATAACGTTCACTAAGACGTGTAAATAGCTCCTGTGGTTCAATGACAATGCAAATGCCCACACCGGTATTAAAGAAATCAAGGACAACGAGACAGCAATGCAAAGGAGATTCTGTATATAAGAAAACACGATCAAATAAAGCACATAAAAATACGAAAGAAAACAAAAGTAGCAGATATTTACACTCCAACAATAGAGGTTGCATCGGAAGAAAAAAAGGACAATAGATGGACAAAACGATGTACAGAATGGAGGCCAAGGACGAGAAAAGATCTAGAGGAGGATCAGAGGGAAAATGGCAAGATGACTTCAGAGAGCAGACAGGTACATCTTAGGCGCAGAAAGAAGCAGATACAACAAGAGTGGAGGTCGTTGGAAGGCTATTTCCTGCAATGGGCGAACAACGCCATGAAAGAAAGAAAGAAAGAAGGAAAGGCAGAAAGAAAGAAAGAAAGAAAGAAAGAAAGAAAGAAAGAAAGAAAGAAAGAAAGAAAGAAAGAAAGAAAGAAAGAAAGAAAGAAAAGATTCGAACTAGATCTCCATGACACTTGTGAACATTGATGATGTTCTTTCAGTTCATTACAAACGTCTATGACAGTTATAGCTTTGGCAAAGTGTAGAATTAATATTTCCTAAGTATTAAAAAAACCCAAAACGACAATTAATCTTTGAAACTAAATTCTGGATTGACATCGTCTCACTTCTATTGACCCAATAGCCTAACCACTACACCACAGACGTGCATGGGATTTGACAGACAGTGACGTCATGTGGCTCCGCCTCTCCCTCTTCACAATCCACCCCAAAGACCGATAACCACACAGAGTCCTCCTCAAGCCCCAGTTTCTGACTTATTCGAGAGAATTAGAATACTTTTATACGCGAGGCCATGGTGCGCACCAACAAAGCGAAGTTTTTCACTGACAGCAAAGAGTGGCGGCCATGACAGTGCCCAGTCTAGGGTATTATAATTCAAGTCTATGGGCGGCCATGATAATGCCCGGTATAGGATATCATAGTTTTTTTTTTGTGGGCTGTCATGGCAGTGCCTGATCCAGTAAAGTATAATTCAAGTGTAGGCCTATATGTCATTAGTTTATCTTTCTCTCCCCTTCATCTCTCTCTTTCTCCTCCACTTCTTCTCCCTACCACACACACACACACACACACACACACACACACACACACACACACACACACACACACACACACACACACACACAAACATACACATATGCAGACACACACATACGTACAAGCACATTTACACACACGCACATACAGTGCATCTGTGTCAATATCAGTATAGCTGTTTTTACGCCCCACAAGGTACGTGCAGATAGATGGTGTTGAAACGATGTGTCCTCACGCCTGTGTAGATCAAAAGCTCTATCCCCCTCATCTGCCTCTTACAATGGCCCGCCGTCTTTACCCTGAGAATGGCAGCGGCCTGCGATCCCCTCTAAGCAAACAATATTATTTTAACTAAACTTGACAGTCCAAAGTTCTCCACACCACCCCCGCCCCACACTAAGGAAACGAAAAAATCCAAATTGTCCAAGACAGCAATCCGTTGTTGAGAAAAATTGTTGTTTAAGATATTTGGGCGTCTTGTACAGTGTCTTTGTAATTTTAAAAAGCAAGAGGGAAGTGGGAATCGGTCGTTTGTACAGGTGATTGTCTTGGACAGGTGGTGTTTAGAGTAAGCCTAGATCCGGTGCGCACCAGAAATCTAGCCAAGGCCCCGCCTTGCCCCGGCGAAATGCGACATCGCTTGAGAAACAGTGGCGCGGAATAGAAATAGAAGCAAGGGCGATCACTCTGGCCAATGTCGCGCAGGCAGACGTGATGTGCCAGCCAGTCCGTGACACGGAGCTCGGTAGGTGAGGACGGCTGTTTTGTGTGTGCACAGTGAAATAACAATTTCTTTCTGTGGCCACCGTTTATTTCCCTCGCAAACCGGCCAACCCGATTCTTCTTGTGTTCACCAATAGTGTCGGATTATTTGACTTTCCTGCCGGCTCGCTCGTCAGTCAGGTATGTGATGATGTCTCTCTCTCTCCCTCTGTCCGTCTTGTTTGTTTATTGCTCACAGCGAGGTCAAGATTCCAGATGTGGGTGGTTGGCGGGTGCTCTTCCTTCTTTCCTGTCAAACATGATCTATTGCCCTTATCGCTTCTTTTTTGCATGTTACTTTCTAGATTTAGATCTAGATATCTAGATCTAGATATCTAGATCTAGATCTAGTAGATCTAATACCTCTAACCTTCGGCACTTATATGACCAGTTTGTGTTGCATGTGCCGTTGGAAAAACTGTTACTAAAACTAAACAAAGATTCGAGGTGTTGTTCCTTCCTTGACCCCACCCCCTCCCTCCCCCACACCGCTTTGTTTGCATCTCTGTGAAGCCAGCGGGTTTTTTTTGTTCTCACCTGTACCGCGCTCTCTGAGCATGAGCGCCCACACGTCGTGGATGGTTGGCGGGGGCTCCGGTGTGATTTGCTCTGTATTTCCCATCAAACATCTATGATCCATGGTCCTTTGTCTCTTCTTTTTTTAAAGCATTTTGTTAGGGCCTACTTTCTTGCAACATCTCTAATCTGCAGCCTTTCTAAGGCCATGACCTTATTTGCATTTCAAGTGCCGTAAAACGTACAACAAGAACACAACAACAACTTGGCCTACATAACAACAACAACAACAACAACAACAACTACTACTACTACTACTACTACTACTACTACTACTACTACTACTACTACTACTACTACTACTACTACTTCTATTACTACTACTATTACTACTGCTACTGACGTCGACACCATCAATTAAAAAGAAAAAGAATAGAGAATATATCTATGTTTTAACTCGCTTTGAATTGGGCTTGAGGATTTTGTAACTAGGCAGTCTCCATGTTAAGTCCTTTCAGCTGGCAGTGTTATAAAATTTTGTATGCAATATCAGCAGCTACATAACATGGTCGTCCTCGCGACAGTAGAGTTTGCAATAATAGAATAGATAGTCAGTCAAATGAACATGGTGTCGTCATCCTCTCGTCTGAGAGAGAGAGAGAGAGAGGGGG